AGGCAATTGTAGCAGATCCCAGAACCTGGGAAAGTTTGTTTTGGTTGGTTGGTTTGTTTTGTTTTGGACTATGGCATGGTCCAAAACAAAGAGAAGTCTCCCTGGAAAAAACCCTGATGTTGGGAAAGTGTGAAGGCAAGAGGAGAAGGGGATGCCAGAGGATGAGATGGTTGGACAGTGTCATCGAAGCTACCAACATGAATTTGACCCAAGTCCGAGAGGCAGTGGAAGATAGAAGGACCTGGTGTGCTCTGGTCCATGGGGTCACGAAGAGTCAGACATGACTTAACGACTAAACAAGAAACAAAATTTGACAAAACAGACAGGAAGAAAATGTGTTTTAAGCTGCAGTCCTATACTTACAGTACCTATAATTGGCTCCTGTCTTTTGCACAGTCCTATGTATGTTTATTCAGAGATTTCATTGTCTGACACAGTTCTTACTTTCTGTTTCTGTATATACAATGGTTTCCAGATCACAATAAATAACAAATGAAGAATAGAATAAGAGAATATTCATTCAATATTGTTCAGAAAGGTGTGACTTACAGCAGTGGTCCCCAACATTTTTCCAACCGTGGACTGGTCGCACTCGCAGGGGTGTGTTTTGCTTGTGGGGCATGTTGCGCTTGCACACATGTGTGTAGGGGGCATGTCACACTCACAGGGGTGTGGCCGCTTGCAGCGAGCAGGGAACGCTCGTACACATGCGTGGGCACACTTGAGAGGGGAGCGCTTTTCGGGGAATGGAGATATCTGTCTGCGGCCCAGTCCTGCATAGGCCACGGACCGCTGCTGGGTCGCGGACCAGGGTTTGGGGACCCCTGACTTATACTGTTGTAGTTAATAATAATAATGATTCCCAATTTCTATTTAAGTGTTTTATTAAGGAGAATTTTAAATATTTATTAAAGCTTTGTAATATTATTAAAGCATTAAAAAATCCCAACTGATTCACTGTTAGGTTAATTGAAGATTGATCCAATAGTGCTTAAGAAACAAAGTTGAGTTGTAGTCCATTTATCTGGATGTTATTTTCATTAAATTCTCCTTCTGAACACTGTCTCTGTGTAAGTAAAGCTTGCTGTTTATGTACACAATTTTGACTGGTTATATGAACAGAGCCTGCAATTTTAAGCTTTGTAGCTTGTTTTTTACATGTTACTTAAACAAGAAAACATTTGTTTTGTGATTTCTTGGGATTGTTTAATGTTCTTTTGTCTCAACAGGTTTCCGGCTCCTTTGACTTCTTATCCCCCATATTGCCACCCATCTCAGTCTTCCTATCCAAACAGCCCACCCTCTTCATCTACAGTACAGCTGGCGGGTCAGCTTGGCAATATGCAGATAAATAATTATGGTAAGGATTTGTGTAGTTCTCCAGGAAAGGTATAGAGAATAAAGGATAAGAGCTGCCTTGAGTCCTATTAAGGAGAAAGGCAGGATGAAAATATTTTAAATAAATAAATCATAAACAACAAAGAAACAGGGTGGAATCCCACCTCTCGGATGTGAATATTACAGGTAGATGCCTGCTGTCACAAAATAGCCTCTTGCACACTGGCCAAAACCTATTCTTTTTGAGGGCTCCTACATAATGGTATGAGATCCGAGTCAGGACTATACTAGAAATAAGTAAGTGGCAAAAAGTGAGGACTGTGTCTTGGGATCTGATTTATTAGTTATGAGTGGTTTGTTATGGGTCCCTGTTTTCCTTGATTAGAACTTGATACTTGTGATTGAAGAGCAATATAAAATACCAAAAAGAAATGAACAAGCACAAAACGCTTTGCTGGCAGTGCTATTTGTCATAATCAAGTCAACATGATGTGAATTGTTTTCTCATGGGCATGTCATGTGCCTTCGAAGTAGGTTGCAACAGCACATAGCGACTTTTGAACGTGTTTTTGAGTATTCAGAAGGCAAACAGGACCTGCTCAAATCCACCAAAAGATTCTGGTAGGATATTTTTCGATTTCAATAGGAAAGTTTCATGTTTTGATAAACTACTTCAGATTTGCCCTCCGCCATTAATATTTAATGGCTCATTAACTTCATTATGAGCATGGCTGTAGTTCACTGTGTGTCAGATCACTCAAGTTAAATTACTATTTAGAAGGAGAGAACCCCTCTCATTTTAAATTTTCAGGAGAGCTGTTGTGTTAATCTACTCTAGCAAAAAACAACAAAGAATATTGTGGCATCATTAAAAACAAGCACATTTTGTTTGGTCTAAGCATTCATAGACTGTAGCCCATGTCATCTGATGGATGGGATGTTACCCGAGTAGAGAAGCACTTATAGACATGATTAGGTGGAAATGGGAGGCAATGAATACATGAACAAGGTAAAAGCAGTGATGAGTTTTTCAACAGTAGTTTAACAAGCAGTCTTTGGAAGACAACAGTCACACCCTGGCATAGATAAATAGATTCATGTATATATAATGATGAAGAGAAAGAGATTGGAAAAGATTAACATCTAGATGAAATCTGTGGAGGGGAGATTGTAATGAGAAAGGGAGAAGAGCTAGAAAGGCAGATATTACAAACAATGACAATTGCCTAAAAAGTGATATGTAAAGAAACAATGGTTGTCTCTATGATGACCTAATTAACTCATGTGGTGAGATAAGAACCCTTTGTTTCAATTCAGGCCACAGCACACATTCAGCCCTCTCGATGAATTGTTCAGCTATTTCCTGCTGGACACATATCCAGTTTAATGTTATATATGCCGTCATTAATGTCCTACTGCATTTTACTGACAAGTGGGCCAGTTTCTGCACAAAAGAATAAATTGACATGAATCTGGACAGTATTCAAGAACTTGTGGGAGAACCTTTCAAAATCACTGCACACTTCTTCTCTGACCTCAGTGTGACCGTCTTGGAACAAAAGAACTTCCAGAGTTGACTCCAGCTTTCCATTTGGAATAGCTGTCTAAGTGGCCACAAGAATCTTTTATATTTTTTTGCTTTATTTATTTTAATGAAATGTCAAAAGGTTACTTAGTGTTAACAGTAATAATGATTTAAATATTTGTATCCTGGATAATCCCTCATGGTTGTAATGTTTAAAACTGAGATGTAGACTTCACTTGAATATAAAGCATATTCAAGTATGAAGGTATTAGGGTGAATCACCAGAGTTATTTCTAAGAAACTGGGAACTTACAGTAGTATTTTGTAATTTAAGCAAAGATTCTTGAGGCTAATCTTAAGAGTTGTGTTAATGTAATATATCTAACTGAAGTTATTTAGTAATTAATGGGCTAACTCCAGATTTAGTTCTGTTTATAGTAAACCAATTGAAATGGATAGAACAAGTTAAGCATTATTAACATAAGTGACTGATTTAAGTGGGTCTGCTAAAATAGGTGTAAATACATTGTTGTTGTTGTTGTTAGTAGTAGTAGTTTTATTCTTAGTTTTATTTGTAAGCCACATTTCTTCCAACAAACGGACCCAAGGTAGCTCACAGCATTAAAATTCACACAATTAAAACACAATAAGTAAAACGATATATGATTTAAAATAAAAATTAAAACATAGAAACATGGAAAAGATTACAATTATCTGCTAAAATGGCAGTTCAGGGTTCAGGGATTCAGTTGTAATTGTTAAAAGCCTGCCTGAAGAGATGAGTCTTTAGCTTTTTTTCGGAAGGATGAAAGGGAAAGGGCCATCTTGAGCTCCGGAGGAAGAGCATTCCATAGCCTGGGAGCTGCCACAGAGAAGGCCCTTTCCCATGTCCCCATCAGCTGTGTTTGTGCTGGCAATGAGACTGAGAGGGAGGACTCCTCTGCTGATCTTAATAGCTGAGAAGGCACATATAGGGAGATACGGTCTTTCAGGTAGCCTGGACCCAAGCTGTATAGGGCTTTATAGATAATGACCACCACTTTGAATTGGACCCGGAAATGGACTGGTAGCCATGACAGTTCTTGTAACAGATGTGTTATATGCTCCCTGTAGCTGGCCCCAGTCCATAGTCTGGCTGTAGCGTTTTACACCAGCTGAAGCTTCTGCACCGTCTTCAAAGGCATCCCCACACAGTGTGTGTTACAGTAATCCAAATGGGATGTAACTAAGGAATGTGTCACTGTAGCCAAATCCAGCAGCTTAAAGAATGGGCACAGCTGGCACATCAGCTTTAGCTCTGCAAATGCTCTCCTGGCCACCACCGAGACCTGGGCATCCAAGCCTAGGGATGAATCCAGGAGTACACTCAATCCGTGGACCTGAGTTTTCAGGGAGAGTGTAACCCCATCCAGCACAGGTAGTATCTCTATTCCCTCATCTGCCTTCCGACTAACCAGGAGCACTTCTGTCTTGTCTGGATTAAGTTTCAGTTTGTTTGCCCTCATCCAGCCCATTACTGATGCCAAGCACTGGTTTAGAGTCAAGACAGCTTCCCTAGAATTAGGTGGAAAGGAGACATAGAGTTGGGTGTCATCTGCATACTGGTGACACCGAACCCCAAAACTCTGGACAACCTCTCCCAGTGGTTTCATGTAGATGTTGAAAAGCATGGGTGACAAAGGAGAGCCCTGAGGAATGCCACAGGCTAGTGGCCAGGGCGTTGAGCAGGAATCACCCAGCGCCACCTTCTGAGTTCTCCCCTCCAGGAAGGACGGGAGCCACTGCAAAACAAAGGCCAGAAGGATACCATGGTTGATGGTATCGAAAACTGCTGAGTGGTCCAGCAGAACACACTCCCCCTGTCCAATGCCCAGCATAGGTCATCCAACAAGGTGACTAAAGCTGTTTCTGTCCCTTAGCGAGGCCTGAAACCAGATTGAAATGGGTCTAGATCAGTGGTTCTTAACCTTTGTTACTCAGATGCTTTTGAACTGCAACTCCCAGAAACCGCAGCCAGCACAGCTGGTGGTGAAGGCTTCTGGGAGTTGCAGTCCAAAACTCCTGAGTAACCCAAGGTTAAGAACCAGTGGTCTAGATAATCTGCTTCCTCCAGGAATCCCTGGAGCTGAAAAACCACCACATGCTCCAGTACCTTGCCCAGGAATGGGATGTTTGAGACTGGCCGGTAGTTATCCAGTACACTGGAATCCCGGGAGGGCTTCTTCAGTAGCGGTCTTATTACTGCCTCGTTTAAGCAAGAAGGGATCCTAACCTGCTGCAAGGAGGCATTTACCATTCCCCAACCGGGGAGTGTCCCAATCGGCCATTCCTCCTCTGGCTGCTTTTATGAGCCAGGAAGGGCAAGGGTCCAGCAAAAATGTGGTGGCATTCACCTCTCCAAGAATCCTGTCCACATCATCAGACTGCACCAACTGGAAAGTATTCATTAAAACACAACCAGCAGGGGGCAAAGTTACATCCACAGGGTCTGTATCAATTATAGCGTCCAAGTCACAGTGGATCCAAGCTACTTTATCTGCAAAGTGTCGTGCAAATGCCTCAGCAGGTTGTGGAGTGGTCAATATTTTGTTCTTTTGATGGGGCATGCATAAGCCGCTGACCATTTGAAACAACTTTGCTGGACAACTTTGTGCAGATGCAATGGCAGCAGCAAAGAACAGGCTTTCAAATGGGCTCTAGCCTGTGTTCGGTCGGATTCACTCTTCAGTTTTCCTCCATCATTGCTCTAGTGTCCGTCTCACTCGTTTCGTCACTGCTGGATCCCTGTGAATATGTGTCTAGCCTGTGTTCGGTCAGATTCACTCTTCAGTTTTACGCCATCATTGCTCTAGTCTCCGTCTCACTCGTTTCGTCACTGCTAGATCCCTGTGAATATGTCTTATGGAATAAATACATTTCTTTAATGATCAGTTTATTCTTTTCTGATTTTTAGTTTGATGTGTTGTCTAACAGTAATGCTTTTGTGCAGGTCCCAGTCCTGTCCCAAATTCACCTCCTGGTGTGCCTTCTGGACAGTCACGGTCCTTTCAAGGTCCACCACCTCAACCACATCAAGTAGCCTTACCATCTGGCCCTCAGATTTCTCCTCCACCAGCAAATAACCTAAACAGTCACTGCTCTCCACCTTCACTCCCTCCAATAGCCAGGCAAGAGGGGATCCCTGGCTCAAGCCCATTGAACACCAACTTGCCACCACAATTTTCAGGCGAAGCCCCGGGTCCTGGTTTTCCTCCCCAGTATGGTAAGTGTAATTTAAATAGGATCGGTGACAAGTTGTGACTCATGTTTTGAATCCATCAGAATGTGGGTGTAGCAGGCAATTGGTGCTGTCAATTATCATCATGAGTTCTAACTTATTGCAACTCTTTTCAGGGTTTTCCAAAGAGAGAATACTCAAAAGTAATATGCTATTCCCATCTTCTGGGGGTTCTATGGGACTGTGCAGCTTGCTTAAGGCCACACAGGCTGGCTGTTCCCCTAAGAGGCACAATGGGGAGTCAAACTCCCAACCTCTGGCTCTGCAGCCAGAGACCCAAACTACTGAACTATCTGTCCAACTGTGAATTATAGTAAAGTGTAAATGTTGTTTTTTCCTAGCTTCCTCCTGATCCTTTTCTGTATATAAATACCTTTGGGCTTGGAAAAGATTGGACAACTCCCAGAATCCTTTAACCAGCATAGCCCCTATCCATGCTGGTTGGGTTATTGTGGTGCACTCACATGTGTGAAGGCAAGAGGAGAAGGGGATGACAGAGGACGAGATGGTTGGATAGTGTCACCGAAGCTACCAACATGAATTTGACCCAACTCCAGGAGGCAGTGGAAGACAGGAGGACCTGGCGTGCTCTGGTCCATGGGGTCACGAAGAGTCGGACATGACTTAATGACTAAACAACAACACATGTGTGTACACACACCCCCACACAGAGACAGAGACAGAGAGAGAGAGAGAGAGAGTTCATGAGGACAGGAAGCCACTTGGTGACGGACAGTTTTGAAAGGAAATATCAGTAAGCATTATCCTTTCTCCATTTGTGATTACAGCCCTCAATGAAGGAATTTTTTTAAAAGGCAGTAAGAGAAAGTTGGGAGGAAATTTTTGTAAATTATATTTTGGCTTGAGACTTGGAGATTGCTAGTGGATCTATCTGGAAAACAATTTGAATATTGCTGGACTGAAATCACTTGCCAGGTTTTCAGAGTGCTTGAATGTGTAACCTCTCCCTCTGCTTCTGTGTGAATTAGATTTATATCTCCTGTATAAACATCCTCTCATTAATAATAAACACATGTTTCTTTTCTCAATGGATTTTATGCTGCTTTTGCTGATAGTAACTAAAGTGGGATTGTGGAAGTAAAAAAGTGAAGACACTCAAATGCCTGGGGTGAAAATAGCAAATGAGATCAGTGCCAAAATAAGAACTTTCTTCTTTTAAAAAATATAATGCCATATATCACGGGAAATAATTTGGTAAATATGCTGTACTTCCCTATTAGACCACACTGCTTCTGGATTGGACCAGTAAGTTTCTGATTGGCAGATTTATGTCCTGATTTTTATGCTAAATAGTGACATGACAAAATGGAAATCACAGCACAAGAGAATGAGGAAGAAGAGGAGGAATAAAAGGAGGACGAGACAAAGGAGGCAGTGCAGTTACCTGGAGTGGTTAGAAAATCAGGCCAGGACCAGGGAGATTTAGAGTATGACTAGACAGTGAATTATCTTGGGCTGGATTGGGCTAAACAGGGTCACTGGAAAGTGCAATCTGGCCTTTAGAACGATCCTTGCCTCCACATGCAAGGATCAGGTGGTTTGGAGACAGGAAAAACAGACCACAAATCAAAATTTAATTTGGAAGTTTTTGACTTTTTTTTTAAGAGGCACTTTTTCCATATATTTGTTACATTTTTGCAGGGAACTATGGCCCTCCAATGGCAGGTGCACAGCTGTCCTATCCAAGTGGCCTTCCTTCAGGTCCTGCACAACTGTCTGGACCACAGCAGAGGAAATTGGATCCTGATTCCATTCCAAGCCCAGTAAGTATGAATTTTCTTTCCAACAGCTTTCTTATAGATGGATGCTGCAAATCTTTTGGGCTACAGCAGCCATAATTCCTAAACTTTGAACAACTTGGCTGGTTGTGATTAGAGCTTTGTTGTGTGAAACCTGTGGAAGGATTAGGATGCTTTGGAATATACGGGTAATACCAAAGTAGCATGAAGGTGAATGTGGGATTTATAATTTAATTTAATTTATTGTCATAAATTTTTGAAGTGGTTCCCCATTATAATGAGGCATAACAGGATGTCCTGATCAATTTAATGTTTAAATGTATAATTCTGAAATGCAAGGTACTACACAGCTTTGTAGGTTCCTCTTCTGTTCTTTAAAATCAAAAGAAATACTATATGGGTTTTCATTATATTTGCATTTACATTTATAGTACATTTTATATCTTAAAAGGAGCTTGAGCAGTTAAAAATCTCCATTGCTTAAATAAATGCATTTATATCTTATCTGAATGAATGGAAGGGGTCCTGTAGAAACTTCCAGGAAAAAGACAAATTAGCATGTTATCCCAGAAGCAATAATAAGAAAACTTTTGTATAGAAAAGTCTACTTCATTAAAAACTCTAAGTAGACAGTGAATCCTTTTATTCTGCTAATTCCTCGCTGATATATAGATATATTGAATTGAAGTTGTGATTACAGTTGTACAGAGTTTGTTTTTGTTTTTTGGTAAAACAAAATATTCTGACTACAGCTGTTCAACTCCACATTGACTAACTGTTGATGTTGAGATGGACATGAGTCATACCATGTATTCAGCATATGAACATTCCCCTTCCTTTTCCATCATGGCCATGTGGATGAGTTTAGACGTATTTATCTCCATTTTGGATTAACTACAGCTTTCCTTATTATGCAAACCCAGAAAATTATGTCATTAATTGTAACTATGATTAAGCACACTTCCAGATCCATTATGGCATGGCAAGCTGGAATTAATCAAGAGCAGTTGGGAAAACTTTCAATATCTTTGCTCCCCTACTAGAGACAAGAAGGGAGTGTGCAAGCCTAATACTTGCTATTGCCTATTACTTTCTCATATAATCCATAGCTTGTCATGGCAGTTGAACATGGGCTTTTGAGCCAGCTCAGATATGGTCTACCTAGCAGTGTGCATGAGTGGCAATGTCTCTTCTGGCAGTGCAGGTCTGCCTCTGCCTGGTATAAGGAGTAGATCCAAGGTATCTACTGTATTCCTACTTTTAAACTCACCAATTTCTTGTTATCCTAGTTTAAACCATGCTTTGTCCAAATTAGTCAGAATTATAAAGCACAGTTTGATCTTAATAGAGTTCAATATGTCATAGTTTAAATCACTGGTTCTTAACCTTGGGTTACTCAGGAGTTTTGGACTGCAACTCCCAGAAGCCTTCACTACCATCTGTGCTGACTGGGGTTTCTGGGAGTTGCAGTTCAAAAGCATCTGAGTAACAAAGTTTAAGAACCACTGGTTTAAACTGATATTTTCCTCCCATTGGATGTAATAAGTTAGTTTAAAACAGGAAGGAAAAGCTTCCCGCCTCCTTGCAATAGTACTGAAGGAGGAAAGGGGATAGAGAAATGTCCTGTTCTGAGACATATTGCTTTTGATATACGTACATAGCATTCAGGTGTTGTAGCTGCATATTTCAATAGGCCATTATAAATGACAGCTCTTTAAAAAGCTACACATGACATTTTAGAGAAGATGGCCTAAATCCAATTGCAAATTCCAGAGAGTGTAGTTTCACTGAATCTGTTGCTGAAAAAGTAAATCATGATTTACATAGACTCTATTGAGCTAATGGTTTTAAACTGGATTTAGGTTTATCTGTATATTTATTATGTGACATGCCATTCTGACATTTGCTGTGTCATTTCTTGTTCCAAAACTAAATTACATTTAAAATGTTACTCTGTTTGCTAGGTTGAATGCTAATCAACCATATTAATAACAAAGCATTGATGGGTTTATTGCCAATTTTACACTTATAATCTAAACCTGACTGATGTGTTTGATTTATTTTTCTTCGTTAATTTTCAAAATTGCAAAAGAGTCTATGGCAAAATAATGTAGTAGTGGAAGTTCAGGTTTTTCACCACTGCACAGCTGTGCAATGTCTAATACAAATAAATAAAAAATACTTAGGTGATGGTGTTAGCTAATTTTCCCCCCGGAATGTTAGCTTTTAATTTTTCCACGGAAAAAGGTCCCCAACACTCTTCAAAATCTAAGTAGATTCCACTCCTTGAAGTTCTAGTTGAAAAATTCTTCTGGAAGGACAGAACTTCAAAAGAGGTTCTGCATAGAATCTAATAGAGATGGATCTGGTCTCTGTCCACAATATGTTTCCCTGTATGATTTTTCATCATATTGTCCTCTTTCATCTCTTTATCCTCTTGAGTGGATTATACTCAGCAGTTTTCAACCACAGAGAGGAACTTCTGTGTTCTATGTTTCCTATCTCTTAGAAGAAGAAGACGCTCTTAGCCTGAGCCAAGGAGAAATATAGTAAGTTTAATGAAAATAAGTAATGTCTAGTCTGGTTTCTCATGAAATTATTTTTTTAATTCATTAGATTCAAGTAATTGAAAGTGACAGAGTTTCCAGAGGAGGTCAAGTCTATGCTACCAACATCAGAGGCCAAGTTCCTCCTCTGGTTACTACAGATTGTGTGATCCAAGATCAAGGTAATATAGAACTTTCTTCTTTTCCTATTCAGAGTTGAATGCTAAGAATTTTTTGTTGTTGAAATGTACACATATAATTTCTATATTTTAAAAGTCAATTTAGAATATCTTTTCATCAGATTCCTATGGCCATGTTGAATCTTGACAGAGTAGTAACGGACATACTCACATGGAATCAAGGTCTGAAAGACCATTGGAGACGCAGGGTGGTGGCCAGATTACCTTGGACTCTGGAGAGATGCTGCTCTCTTTTCAGTGCCTATCTCCAAAGAGTAGATTAGTGAAATGTCTGTTTTGAAGGTGGCTGCAGTATATAGTCTCTGTCTTTATGTCCTTTATCAGTCCACTGCCATTCTGATCTTGGTGCCCAGCAGCCATCTGTCTGCCCACCTGCCACCACCATGCCATTTATCACTGCAGCCTTCTGTTCCTCCTTTCCTTCTTTTTCATATGACACAAGCAGTACAGTGGTGCCAGCTGCAGTAGGTTTGTCTTCTCTTTGTTTCGCGTAGTTGCTGTGAGGCGGCAACCTAGTGACAGGGTAGGCTGTTCCTATATCCAACTGTAAGCTTGATATCACTCCCATGAACCAGGAAATGCATGTACAGTGGTGCCTCGCTTAACGATTGCCCCGCATTATGATGAAATCGCTGTACGACGATTGTCTAAATGGGTTTTTTTCGCTTTGCGAAGATTGGTTCCCTGCTTTGGGAGCCAATTCTTCGCATTACAACGATCAAAACAGCTGATCGTCAGGTTTTCAAAATGGCCACCGGGTGCTTAAAATGGCTCCCCGCTGTGTTTAGGGGTGGATTCCTTGCTATACAGGCAGCGAAAATGGCTGCCGTATGGAGGATCTTTGCTGGACGATGAGTTTTTACCCCATTGGAATGCAATGAATGGGTTTCGATGTGTTTCAATGGGGTTTTTAATTTCGTTTTACGATGTTTTCGCTTAACGGCAATTTTCCTGGAATGGATTATCGTCGTTAAGCAAGGCACCACTATAACTATTTGCATAAGGCGGTGTTGATGCCTCCTTTCAGAAGTCTGGGTTAAAAATAGAATCACTTGCACAACTGAGGGTTGCACAAGTATAAGCACTCTGATTGGATCCTAGCCTTTGTTTGTCAAACTGGCAGGACGAAAATCACATAGAAATATTTTCTTGGTGTACTTGGTTAATTGAAGGCCTTGTAAAGGATGAGCTTAAACTTCATGTGGCCTAAGCTGAAATGCACCCCCCACCCCCTGAACTTAATATTGTGCAGGCAGAGTTAAATATTTATAATGGTACTCCAGTTATTCTGATAGCAGGAACACAAACAGAGGCAAAGTGTTGAGAAAATGTACAAGCAGCCAAAGGGCTTGTAGGCATTTATTTTATTTTTAAAAATCTGCACATTTCTAGAATGAGCATAGGAAGTATGCTGTTCTGATTTGGGTTTATGATGATGCCAAGTGTTGGCTTGGCTTTGGCATGAAGTCAAATCGGAGCGAGTATACTGTATTATCTTCTGGTCTTATTATGGAAGTGTGTGTGTTTAAAGGAATAGGTGTCCTGCCAACAGCCAGATTGGTCCAAAGGTCTCAGTTATTGGCAGTCAAAAAAGTGGGTAGCCCTCCCGCTGTGAGAGGAAAATGGACTTTTCTTTTAGTTCTGATTTTATTATCAAATAAAGATTCTAGTTTTCAACTCTTCTTTTAATCTTTATCTGATCTTGCCCTTATTTTGAACATTCTAGGTAATTCTAGCCCTCGTTACCTTCGGTGTACCACCTATTGTTTTCCGTCGTCTTCAGACCTGGCAAAGCAGGCTCAAATTCCATTAGCTGCTATCATCAAGCCTTTTGCCAATGTGTTGCCAAATGAGGTAAGAGTGAGAGGCTAAAAATCAGAATGGAAATATTCTTGTTTGCAAGTTAAGCTTTTGAATGAAAGTTGTTAACATTACTGATGGGCAGAAATCACCTGGGACTGTACAATTTGCCCAAGGTCACATAGGCTGGCTGTATTGGGAGGAGGCGCAATGGGAAATCAAACTCCCTACCTCTGGCTCTGCAGCCAGATACCTAAACCATTGAGCTAAAAAAAAATAGATAAGAGAAAGTAAATATATGACAAGCATTTTTTTTACTTACAAGGCGAAAGAGCAATTAACTGGTGCCTTAACATTCCCTCCTCTTCCTCATCAGTTTTATTGTACCGAGTTCTGCTAGCAATTTATCACATGAACTTTAAATCATTTCTTCTTAAAAGAATGGGCTGCCAATAAAATTCCACATGGATCAAATATAAGTCTTGGAGTCTGACCTGTCAGCAAAAACTCCCAATGTATTCCAATTCCTCCAATCACTTTTACCCACTAGTCACTGGGTTCTAATCTTGGACTGTCATCCAAATTGCACTACAACCCTGTACAGTCCAGAGTTTCCACTGCTGGCTGTCCACACTGGCATTAGCATTCCTCCAGAGGAATCCCCCTGAACCAACCTTGTGTTCCTGCAGAGGGAAAATGACTCATTTCTGCCAGAGTATTTGCCCTCTTAACATTTTGGATATGTATGGTTTGTATGTAGGATAGGAGAGAACTCCTAATATTCAGTCTCGGATAAAAGGGGGACATTTTTGTATGTAAACCTTTGCCAAAAATTCATAGAAATTTATATGTATATCTAGAACACTTGTCTCACTAGGTTAATGGCTTTCTTGTTTCTTTGTATTTCTAAAAATTCTGGTGGGAATACTATTTTAGCTACAAAATCTGAACTGATTTGAGCTGTACAGTTGTATGGGCAAATAATGCTAACTTGTAAAGTTTGGGGTGCATTCCATGAACTAGTTTAATGTGATTTGCTGCCGTCCTTCTATTTATCAGTGAACTCAGTGTTGACTTTGACATGCTGGTTTCAGCTAACAATAAGTAATTGGAATTGCAGTGAAAAAAAACCTCACCCTCATTGTTATTCTCAGACCTTTTTGTGAATCTGGAGCATTTCTATGGAAGGGCAATACAGTCAAAGCAACTTTTAGGTAGCTTCATTGCAAGATTGCTATATAAACTTTTTGAAGATGGTACGCCTGCTTGGATTTCACTGTTTTATGACTTGCTTGCTTGATCTATTTTAGATTCCGCTTCACTCCCAGATGGTTTAGACTTCTTAAAACAGAATGCAGATTGATTTGTTTTTTACTCTAAAAATTTCAACAATACAATCAGATGTACAAGTTTGTCCTTTATTTGGTTTAATTGGAAATAAATATGTTTAACTGTACTGTTATTTCCAAGTTTTGAAAAGGCGTGTCCTTGTAACAGATCATCTCCCGATATTTGTGATAACTGCCACTTCCCAAAAATAACCTTCTGAGAGGGTGTGTTAGTTGTCTTTGACATACTCCCTCCGTTCGGGGCTGGTGCGACTGGCTCATCACTACACTACACGTCCTTGTGGGGATCGCTTCTACATCAGTTGCATTCTCCAATGTGGGCAGGGGAGACTTGCTGTCTCACTCTTTTCAGGGGTGAACAGAATTTTGTGATTTCCAGGACAATGTCGTAGTTTAGATTTAGACCTTAAAACACAAGACAAATCCAAGTATTTGAATTAGTGCTAGATCAATAATAAAAATGCACAAAATAGATTTATTTATATTACACTCCCTTTACATGGTATTGTCACTTAGGAGGTTATTTCCAAGTTTTGAATATTGCAGTGAATTCTGCCACATCAAATCATGGCAAGCATCTTGTGAATCGAGTATTCAACATGTATTTATATGTACGATTTGAATAACTTTTTGAACTAGATAGAACGAATGCTTGTTTTGAAGTTCATGGAGACATTGTAATTTTATATTTTATCTTTTTCTGCATTGATAACGTCTTTATGCACTCAAGATAATACCTTTTCATTTTTCCTACTCCCTCCCTCCCTCCTTTCTTTTCTTCTTTTTCTTCTTCTTCTCTCTCTCTTTTTGGAGAATACAAGATCTTTGTTTGACAGAATTTATTTTTAGCAGTCCAGTGTTTTAGCAACGGGCTATAAAAACAAAAGCTAGCAGCTATCATCCTAGGCCAGGCACTCTGCAAGTTGGTTTTGGAGATAGATGAATATTTGCCAAGCTTGGATAAACCAGATGATCTTTGCTTAACATTTAATACTGCTTGCTACTAGCAGTATCTTGGCCAGAGATAATGTTTTACAATTTACAAAGCAAGCTTAATGCCAGAGAACATCTCTGTATTTGCCATGCTTAGAAATGTTCCCTAACAAATTACTGTGTATTGCAAAGTTATTACAGTTGCTAAAGTGTAGTTGAGATAATTGCTGGAAAGTTAGGTAATTATTTCATTTTTCGGATGCTTTAACAAGAATGGTGTTTTAATAAGATAATCATAATATAATTGTGTGCATTTTCTCTACCCAGAATACGTTATAAAATTAGCCAATCTTATAGATTAGATTTCATTATGTAAAATTTTTTAGTAAATTGATATTTTAGAAATAAGGAATGGAATGGCAAAAGCTAATGAAGGAGGTTGTATAGTTTAGAGATGGTTTATGTGTCTCTTTCAAAACTGAGTCTATCAGTGGCTATTCTGTTGTTGTGTGCTGTGTAGTCAGAACCAACTTATATACTGGCTGGATAGCTCAGTGGTTTAGATATAGTTGGAATTTTGATTCCCCACTGTGCCTCCTGCAAATAGAGTTAGTCTATGTAATCATGGGCAAGCTGCACAGTCCCAAGATGCCTCCTGAAGAAGATAATGGTAAACTACTTCTGAGTATTCTCTACCTGTAGTTTCCATGGCTGTGAGTGGAGATTTATAGGTTATTGATTTTGTCTTGTCATTGCCGCTACAGACGGCAGTAGTCCTTAATAATCTCCTCTAAATGTAGTCACTGTCCCTCTTTCAGTAATGGGGAAAACGGCAGAAAGTGACTGGCCTCTGAAGATGCCGGCCACAGAGACTGGCGAAACGTTAGGAAGAACAACCTTCAGAACGTGGCCAAAGAGCCCGAAAAACCCAGAACAACCATGACTGGCCATAGTTTTGAAATTACAAATCCCACTTCCCTTTTGAAGATATTGACTGGGTCCTTTATGCTGCCAAAAGCATACAGAAGGATTGTTTTTGGAGCAGCCCGACAGAACCGAGAAATCCAACTCAGAGTGAATTTTAAAAGTTTTGCTTAATGGCAAGCATAAGGTTTTTTGTAAAGAAAGCCTGCCCCTTCAGCCTTTTGCCGGTGGGAATTAAGCACTGATATAATACCTGCAACACAGATGGAAAGTTCCTATGCTAATGCTCCCGGGCTAGACGGTTTGTTAAAAATCACAGACAGATTGGATATGTCCTCGTCTAAATGTCAGTAATTCAGATGTCAGTTCAGTACTGTGTGAAAGCAGAGGCTCAGTTTAAAAGAAGGAGAAGCTTTGTCATAAATTATTTTCATGGCCTTCTGGTAACAGAGTTAAAACCACAGCTCTCATTACAGCAGCAATTTACCCATCAGCTCTGCACACAAGCTTGTTAAATCTCTTTCCTTTCTATTCCTACCCTCTGGTTGCTCCTGCTTACTGACATTTCGAAGACCTGTTGTCTAGTACAGTTTCTTGATTATCATCTTGCATTCCAGTCTCTCGTTCCTGCTTCTGCTATTAGCTAATCCCAACTGCTGACCTTCCCTAGGGAACCAACACAGACCAGCATCCAAATAACAAGCAGCACTTCAAAGCTGAGTAGTAGCTGCATTGACTTTATGCGGTTAATTCATGCACTCCCAGCTTGGTCTCCATAATAATTGGAATGTGCATTTTTCTACTTGGCTGTCAATACAAAAGAAGCCATGTTTTAGAAAGAATAGTATGGGCAATCTGAGTTAGATATAAATACAGTAGTATATTTGAATTTAATCCACAGGTATAAGGTAGAGGGGGGTATTGTTGTTATGTGCCATTAAGTCAGAACCAACTTATAGGAATCCTAATAGGGCTTTCAAGATAAATGATTTTAACTGTCCCAAACCCCCCAATGAGTTTCCATGACTGAGCAGGGATTTGAACCCAGGCCTCCTGAGTCCTAGTCTGTCGCTCTCTCCACTACACCACACTGGGTATTGCTGTGAGGTGTAAGGAATTCAAAATCAGCAAAACATTTTGTGTACTACTTAGTCATGTGATGTCTAATAAAGTCCAGTCTTTCTGTAACACTAGAATGTTGGAAATAACTGCATTACAGATCACTGTTTTGACATAAGGAGATAATATAGCAATGGTTCAGCCTGTTATCCTATCCGATCATGTAATAGCTTCCAGATTTGTATGTTTTTGGAGGGTTTAACTGCACAGATTTTCAAAAAATGAGCAGTACTTATGTAGAACTAATATAGCTACGTATCTTCTGAAGAGAACTGAAAGGTAGGTCATATGCAACAGCTGTGGCGCAGATTCTGTTTTCATGAATCTAGTGCACACATTTCAAATTAAGCATTTCAAATTAGGTAGTTGTAGCTAATTACATTTATAGCTAATAGAATAATTTTATTTTTGAAGCTTCATTTCAAAAATTCTGCAACGTATCAATGTGTAATAAATAATGCTCTCTGTTTACTTTCAAACTTGTACAAGTATTTCAAGCATTTTAATATGGATTTTTTAAGATTTATATCATAATAGTAGAATACCAAAAATGTAAGGAGCTGCATAACAAAACAATGCAACAAAACAATGAGCAATAATTACAATTGGCAAAAGCTATCGTGAGTACATTAAGTACTTCTTAAGTGTAACTTTCTGAGATCTACTGTAACATCATTTTACAGACACTCTAATAACATTTAAAATGGTGAGGCTGAGAATGGAATGTAA